TTCGATCCTATTTATTGTTAGTTTAGTGGTTAGATAGGTTATTTATAGATAGATATTCGTCACCCATTATTTCTCACTTTTACAATATGCAGATTAGCTTTGGGCATTGCATAGATTATGCAGGATGTATGTTTTATTAAAGGATTCGTGTTTAATGATAGTTAGAAATTAAGGAAAGTATAATCATTAGAATGATTTGTATATTTAATTTTTTATTCTTCATACTTCACTCCTTTGCTATCTATCCTCCCACTTTATTAGTAATATATACTAAGATTACTTTTTATACATTTACAACAATTTCCATACTACACCCGATTCAGTTAAAATATATTACTAATCAAAGAATTGTATTAATAACCTATGATTAACTTATTACAATAAAATGTAATTATAGATATTCTCATCACATGAAAATGATGCAATGATTAAGTGTTAACAAAAATTCTCATGATGCCATTTACTTGGCATTACATAGGGTTAGTATTTTTATTAGATGTATATTAGAAAATTAGGTAACTAAGATTAAAAAAAGCTAAATATATATTTTGGTTAGTGAATTGAGAGTAATTTGGCCAGTGAATAAGATATACAATCAAGTGAAAAATTTATTATTATTGCTCAGTCAGATGACTTTATTAAACAAAATGAAGAACATATAGAATCCCTTTGCTATCTCTAAAGCTCTACTAGAAATCCTACACTTAGAAACCTAAATTAATGCTAAACAGTCCAACTCTAATCCTTTCTACTAATCAACCTTCCCAAAACGATTCTGTGTTATCCTAACTAACCTAGCTATTTTCTCAAGAAAATAGTCTACAAGGAGGGAAAACATAGCTTAAAAGAGAATCAGCCTGCAATGATTATACTATTCAAGAGAGACAAAGGGGTCTTTGTACTGATAATACAGCCGCAGAGCCTCATCATCCTATGTGGGTGTGTTGAACCCAACTACTAAAATAAGGTCCTTGCACTGCCTATTGCAGTCATGAAGCCTATAATACTTACCAGTATCACTCAACTTTCATTTGTATCTTACGAATTTATTGCAAGTTGGGCAGGAGAGGGTGAAAGAAAGAGCCAGCCTTCACTTCAAGGCAAGCAATAGCAAAAAGAAAGATACAAACTTCTAAACAGCCCAATTATTCTTAAATACCTTCTCACGAATATTCAAACATTATCAGACCATACTTAGCCACCTTTTTACTTCTCTAATCATGAACAACACGAACAATTATATATAATTAAAACAATAACCAGAAATAACCTGCATTAATGAACGAACCTGGAATTTATTTTAACTGCTATAAATAGCTAAAACAAAATGTATAAAAGATCTATAAAGTCATTTTATCTCACAATAATGATTACCCTGTCACTTTGTTAACGGGCTTTTCATTACTATTGCTCAGTCAGATGACTTTATTAAACAAAATGAGGAACATATGGGAATAAAAAGAGGATCACTCTAGCAAAAACCTATCTTTTTAGAGATCTGTAGTTTGGCAGTTCCTACAGATCTCAAATACAACATGATAGCTTTACTGTCCCATCTGCCTATTGTGCAGATTTGTGTTAATGAAAAGCCTGCCTCTATAGCAGCCATTACACCACCAATTCTAATACTATGAGCTGTGAATTTACCCTTCATATCTGCATTCTCTACAATTCTTTTAACAATAGCTCCAACTGCCTCTACTATCATTTGCTTCTCTTGTCTTGACAAAAAGAAAGGCATTTCATATGTAGTCTTGGGTCAAATCATAAGGTAATTTTTTAACAATCTAACTGGGCAGTAACAGCTGTCTGACAATTCTATAGGAATAAACCTCTCATTGGCAAATTGATCGGTCTTAGAAGACCCTATACGAATCCAACAAAGCTTACCATCAAATTTAACATCCTTGAGCTTTAGTTTACATAGCTCACCAGGGCGACGCATTGTTCTTAATCCAATTGCCACCAAGGCAGTATCCCGAATCCAATAATCTCTATTTACATGTTGTAGTCTATTGTCAACAAAATGCTTTAAGGCTACCACTATTAGAGGGTCACGGGCCATTCTGAAACTCCATCTTTTCTATACTCCTTAAGAAGTGCTTTATAAACTCTCTTCACTCTGTATTCCTTTGATGGATCTGGCAGTTGATATTCCAAATGCTCTCTTGATACTGCTGCCAAGGTATCTGCACAACTAGAGAAAGAGTATACCAAATCAAGCCAAACAATAAAAAAAATGAGTGTATCAACTGTAGAAGGCAATGATAACAAACCCATAAACCTACAGTACTCCTCATATAACTTCCATGCTTTGTTTAAATGTTGATTCTAACTCTTTAATATTGAATTTCTTCCCAGAGCCTATGCTCTAATAAGCAAGTCATTACCAACTTACTCTTACTGCTAGGAACTGCCATCTTGGATTCTTTCAAGGTTCTACTTCTTCTAAAGAACCCTTTATGAAGACTAGCTGTGCCAAGGGCAGTACTAAAAATTCCTTCTGCATATGTATTAGCATCGACCACCACACTGCTGAGACCCATTTTGGGATGATTATAGTTGCCACAGCTTTTGTTTCTAATATGTAATGAAGTACACGATGAATTAGTGCCAATAGTGGGCATATATAGTTGTTTTCCATTGCCCAGTTGTGTGCAAAACAATTTATGCCTTTGGAGTTAAAGCGAGCAAGCTTTGCATTCTGGTGGCTTGCTATACAATTGACTGAGTGTGGTCCCCACCTTTCTTCTAACAGATTGAATGCTACTTGAGCTAGACCCCAGTCATCTAAATCTACATATCTGGTTAAGAGGTGGTGCGCATTTCGCCAACAATCACTTTACCGACAGCTTAGTTCACCGACAATTAATTAACTGACAAGTTCATTT